CTAGCCGTTCCTAATTTAGTAGTGAAAGACTAGTCATCACCGCCAACTCTTGGGCTACTCTTTTACCAAAGAATAGTGGGATTGACCAGAACATTATAACGCCTCCACGGCTGAAAGGGCGAGCATGTTTGGTGGGACGGGTATTGCGAGTCGAGCGCCCTACCCAGCTGGCCATGCCGGACTGAGATTAAAAACACGTTTTATATTTATCATTATTATTTTGCGTGTTGCACCTTTAAAAACGTGTTTGACAACACGATTTGGATCGGTAAACGTGTTTTATCATGTGTCAAGTAGCACATAAACACGTTGTTTAGATAATAAAATACACGCACAAACGTGTATATATTTGTTAGTTGTTGTATTTACATATTTTGCCTTTAAACGTGTTTGGTAACACGACTAGACAGACTTCAATGTCTTATATTGGTTAAAACGTTTTTCTGGGAGCGTGTGTGGATGTTAGGGTTCTAAGTACAGTTTATCACATTGCAGTGTGCAGTTGTTAGTTTTATCAGAAGCCGTGGTACGAAAGTCGCACAACAGCGTCTGCTAGAGCTACGAGTCTAATCCAATCATGGACTTAGTAAGGACGTGCATGCAAGCCCGCTATACGCTCCGCATCTCCCCAGGTAACAGCGGGCTCTCCCTTATCAAGGTTTCCGGAAGAACGAGCACGTGCCGCATACTCGTTAAAACGTGATGTCGTTTTCTTCTGCAACATACTAGTACCGTTGATGAGCTAGTTGGATGACTTCCTCCATCGATTTTATTCTTATCCACCCCACCCCAATATCGTCATGTACATCCCCTAAGACAGCAGTCATTCTCCGCTTCAGTTGGTTTTTAATCTATTCACCTTCAAGTTCTCCATAATAAGACACTGAGCAATTTAAGTTCGACATACTAGTATCAGTTGTGGTATATGAAATATTTTTGTGATGATTTTATAAAATGGTAGACAATACACTTAATATATATATATATATATTAATTTTGTAAATGTAATATAGGTAGATGACCATTACACTGAAATAAAAACATCCGAACGAATTTAGGATAACGAAATAGCAACTTTCTGTGGTCTGATGAATATTGCGGTGTTAAAAAAAATATCCTGCTGATAAAATTTTCTAACAGTATACAACATTCTACTTTGTCAAGTAAAATTGAGTAAACATATTTATGACGTAGACGTGTTTCACTTTCAATGAACATTTCATATAACTTTTTATTTAAATCAAAATAGAAATTACAACTTGGCCCAAAGTGACAAGTAAAACTTGGACAACTCTTAGACAATCCTAGTTTCAGAGGTCAGTTGTAGTTATAAACTAAGCATAACAGTTAGAAAACATTCAACATAGAACTTTACTAGAAAGCTGCTGTTCATACAGACACTACGACACTACAGCAGCTTTCCAGTAAAGTTCATACAGACACTACAGCAGCTTTCCAGTAAAGTTCATAAAGACACTACAGCAGCTTTCCAGTAAAGTTCATACAGACACTACAGCAGCTTTCCAGTAAAGTTCATAAAGACACTACAGCAGCTTTCCAGTAAACTTTATGAACTTTACTGGAAAGCTGCTGTAGTGTCTATATGAACTTTACTAGAAAGCTGCTGTAGTGTCTATATGAACTTTACTAGAAAGCTGCTGTAGTGTCTGTATGAAGTTTACTGGAAAGCTGCT